TGCAGGATTGTACCAAACTATACCGTGTTACTGTTTCCTATGGTTGTTTGCCGTCTGCTGCACACACAACTGATCGGACACACGCGCCTGCTTCCACACGTACGCATGCAAGCATGCCCACTCTCATTCATCGCGCAGTCGCAAACAAAGACGCCCCCGTATAGCCTTAACAGACTGTTGGGGCAAGTGCTGTTAGCGAGCACCTATGAAGGCCGGCACGGCACACGAGGGGGTGGGTGGCCAGCACCACGCCCGACCACCTTCGTCTCCCGAGTGGCGATGTTTATGCATCGGACCAGGTACTCATTTGAGGCTGAGTCGACCTAAGGGAGGCCAAGGACCGGTTCATACATTCGTCACTGGTGTAGGCCGTGAGCGGGTAATCGAACCCGCCGGGTCCGAAGCACAACGCGCTAACCACAGTGCCACCGCTCCCCACATGTTTGCAGTCACAAATACGCGCGTACACACACACACTTGAAATAATGCTCACACACACACACGCGCAAACACACGACGTACCTACATACACACGCACACGCGCATATCAAACCCGCGCTCTCACACTCGCTTGCACACTCGCTCGCACACTCGCTTGCCCATACCTGCAGACATGGCACGCGACGAGAAAAAAAAGAAATGAGTACAAATTTTATCATCTTGTACAAATACACCTGGAAAGGCTACATCAATGTACATTTTTTACATTTCTCCCAAGTGAGCGTTACTGTGTCGACTTCCAACGAGTCTAAATCGCATAAGTATAAAAATACCGTCGGAGGGACATTTTAAAGTCTTCACCTAGTTTCAGCTCATGTACATACCCCAAGCGTATAACAGCAAACAGTGTGAAACGCTAAACTCGACGCGATATATGATGAACTGAGTTAATAATTAATTGCAATATCGGCAAAAACAAATGAGGTTTGCACAGGCGACTTGATCGAACCTATGCGAGCGGGCTTATTCTGCCAGTAATTTTTTTTTTTACAATTTGAATTCTGGGAAGTATAATTTTAAGAGCTCGAATGCTAGTCTGACGTTTGAGACTCCATCGGGTGCTCAGCGAGCCCACTGAACGACGCGTCTCACTCAATGCGCTCACTGCATCGCGCGGTTTCAGATGCGCTTCTGCGGCCGTCTGGAACGCCTCTTGCTTCGGATATTAGAAAGCCACTGGACCTGTGCACTTTTAAATCATATCGATTTGAAAACTAATTTCTCGAGAACTGCTGTTTGTGTTTAGTTTGTTGTCCTTCCCCCGCAACCTCCGATGATCACGGTTGGCTACGTACGGTGCAAAAGAAGTTCAACAGACACACTCCATACAATGCAATGTTGACACGGGCTACGGGAAGTACATGCACGGTGTCGTTTTGCACGTAAAATTTTCCGACGAACGTTTTTGTTCAACTGGTGGCAGCGGCAGCGGCTCATTGTGAACGCCCACACACCACACACACTCGGTTACAGCCGGGAGGAGTCTCGCATCAACGATGCTGAGCGTTCACATCAAAATGACGGATGTCACCCAAAATGCCACGGCACCGAACGCGAAACGAGCAGATGATGCTCTCAATGGTACACGACTCAAATCTCTTTCCGCTGAGAATGCAACAATTATCCAGATTAAGCGAACCATCTTTAAACGAGGTGTAACAGCCTGCATAATAATACAATAACAAGTAAATTTAGAGTCCTAACGTCCGCGCTAAATTATCTTATAACTGTAAACTGCTACCCGATGAGTGGTAGTACGTTATGCACCACTGAGCATACCTCTGCAACTGGATCTCTAAGAAATCTAGAATTAAAATTTTTGAATAGTTTACTTGAACGTGTAGATATATACATCTTAAATTTGTTTAACACTTTTTTTATTCATATAATACATTACTTTGCCAAAATTCTCAGTTTATTCGTTTTGGAGAGTCACAAAAGATCACACTGCACTTCAAATCCAAACTTAAGTCGGCGAAATAAAGTTTATGTGGAGCAGCACATCTCCACAAACGCCGTGCTATCTCACATTATCGCGGAAAGGCCAGCCAAAACAAATGTGACCCGGATGGAGACTCTGCGACAATTGCTTTTGTAAGATCCCTATCCGATGTTGATTCTATGGGGCCCAACAACAAAAGGGGGAGATAGGTCCCCACTGCTTATCTAATAATCCTGTCAGTGTTAAAGACACATCAAACTGTGAAATCAAACGCCCACCGAGGGCTCTACGCTGTCCGGCTGGACAACCGTGCGGCCTCCTAAGCGGCGTCGCTTCTGTGCGACTTGTAGACGTCATTCCATTCACAGAAGTTTGTCCACGTTTAAAAAAAAAATACAAAACCCCAGCGCCAAGTGTTCTGTATCCTTAGCATGTGTCGTTGTACTTCAACGGTGTAGAGATGGTAGCGAAAAGCTCGGGCACTGCTCCAGGAACCTGGCGACCTGCCCCAGGCTAATCGCGAGCGGCCAGTGGACATCGGTACGGTTCCCGGACCCTCTCCCGCCAATTGGTCAATCAGCACTGATCCTTAGCACGGTGAAATATGCTCAACCAATGCCCATAAAAGACACGGCATGGGGACGCCTTCATCCGGCAGTGGATTGAAAAAGAAATAACTACAATTAAATTATTACCACATTCATAACATCACAAACCACATTATGCTGGGCGACGTTGAACCTAACATATAACACCACCTTTGCCATGAGGCTGAAGGCTTGTGTTTGTGCGTTAAAGCTGTTCGTTTGGCAGACGTGCTCCCCACTTAATTAAGGTTTGTAAGCCAGAGTTGCACTGCACCAGCCAGCAACAACCCTCGAAGTTTTAGTTTTATTTTGGGAAGAGACTGTTCGCAGCTGAAATCCATGTCGGTTTTTGCATTGTCAGGCTTATTTACTCACCCATTCATCTGTTACGCCAGCCAATAGAAATTTGGTGAGCACACATTTTTCACTTATTTTAATTCGTATAGATATATTCTCGAGCATAAGTGTGGTTCCATATCAGGTGTTCATGGAGTGGAGCGTCTTGTATTTCTCAAATGAGGAATCTCCTAGAAAATCTCGATAAACCCACCAAAATCTCATTGCCCAGGACACAGCCTTTTGTTGAGTAGGCAGATTAAGAGGATGAAAAAGGTGAAATATTAAGTTCACTGTGCAGTCATCTGTGCAGATGTGACAATAAAAACTATTAAAGATGGCTTGTAAGGTGTTCCAATGAAGTTAGCATTGGTTATCTTGAAAATAAATGTGGTTTATAAACTTTTTAAACGCACCTCTCAAAAGATAAAACAGAGGCTGCACTCACTAAACTGGGGGTGTCGACACGGTAAGTAGGAGGTACAAAGATCCCCTGTGTAGCCTTTACAGACTGTTGGGGCCAGTGCTGTTAGCGAGCACCTATGAAGGCCGGCACGGCACCATGAGGGGGTGGATGGCCAGCACCACGCCCGACCGCCTTTCTCTCCCCAGTGGTGATGTTTACACAGCGCACCAGGTACTCATTTGAGGCCGAGTCGACCTAGGGGAGGCCCAGGACCGGTTCAGACAATCGACACCGGTGTTGGCCGTGAGTGGGAATCGAACTCGGGTCGCCAGGTTCGTAGCGTAGCGTAGCGCGCTAACCACTACACTACCACTCTCCCAGGAGGTACACACACACACTCAAGCGCGTGCATGACAACTCATTCAGAGGGGGCTCTCGTGTGAACATATTAATGCTGCCCGCGGACTTAATTAGGCCAACTTGTCCGCTTGGAACACATGGGCAAAAACTAAAGTTGCACTTCTGAGATTTCGGGAATGATTCGGAGAATGCGAAAACAAGTGGGCTGCGTGCGTCCGCACCTAATGACCCAGCGTCGTGTGCTCTATGTGGGTGCCGTGCCAAAACAAGGCTCTCCCCTATGCAGCGCATTCGGTGAACGCGTCCGCAGGGGGAGACGGGACACTTGGCGCGCACCAGAGATCTCATCGTTTTGTTTCCAAATCTCTCGAGCCGCTGGTTTGGCGGGCACGGGCACCCGGAAACGTACCAAACGAAAATATTATCAAGCCGCGTAACTTCTCAACTGAGCGTTTTTTGTTTTTGTTTTCGAATGCTGTTGATAGCAATTGATGAGTATATTTAACGTCTGATTTTTTTTAAGTCGAGTATCACCGCGGAGCTTTATTAGGGAGCGTGCAACGTGCATAACGCGGCAGTGAAAAAGACAAAGAGAGTAAAGAAAACACTGACATAGCAAATCTGTTTGACATGGTTTCCTCCAGTAAAATGTTCGCATTGTCGATTGTCGCTTTTTGCTAGACTGTCGCCTTCCTTTAGTTTTTAATTCATGCTGAGATCGTTAAAAACAAGTCAACTTCTCAGCCAAACAGACTTCGCCCGGATGGCAAGCGGGTCGATTGCTCATTTCTTCTCTGCGGGCACATGGGTTCACTATGTAAGCTATGACAAAACACTGATAGACCTTGAAATAAATGTAGTTTTAAAATGAATGACACGAGCCTGGTTTTTCTCGACTCATTTCCATCACATGTGCACGGAGCGGCCAGCAAAATGGGGTTTCACAAGCACCATACGCTGTTTGGTGAAAATTACGCATCCGAGACTCTGGACGATCGGACAGGACCAACTGAGCCACGAGACGCTGACGGTGTCATCACTCAAAACAAGACCAAGATGCTCACAAAATAAAAACAAAAAATCACTCCACTTTGGTCCAGCATCAAAGGCTTGCCAATCAATGCATGCCCAAAGGTGGGGGGGGGGGGCAACCGATGCACTAGAACTCATGAGATTACCAGGATCGCTTAAAGTTGTTTTCATCATTTATTTTTAGTGTCCTTTACAACTGGGCTTTCTGTATTGTTTGTCAGGGGGGGGCAGGTGTCGAACTCTGGAAGCTTTGACTCGCTCGCTGAACGGCGTACCCCTGAGCTGAAACCAGGCCAAGAGGCTGAAAAAAGATTCCCCTGCAACCCCCCCCTCCCTCCCACGTCCGCCCCCCCCTCCCCAACCCAAAACCCGTGACAGACAGTCACCCTTGTGGGCAGATGACCTCAGCTCATCATGTCCACACTGTTGGCTGCAAACGGTGACATAGATTTGAGTGAGTCGTTGACATCTCTCCTGAAGATGGCCAGGTTCTGCGTGAACCTGGGGACACAAGGACAGCAGCTGTTAGAGTTATCTTTAGATTCGTTTCACCCCGTATCGTTCAAACACTCCGTGTGCATACAAGTGTCCAGGTAAAGTGAGAGGTAGCCAAGTAGTTTTGGGAGTGGATATAACATGGCAAGTCATCAGAAAAGTCTTTTAGATAGGAAACTAATTTCTTTAGAACTGCTTCTTGGGTTTAGTTTGTTGTCCTTCCCCAGCACCTCCGATTAGCAGTTAGCTACGTATGGTGCGAAAGAAATTCAACATACATATGTAAATATGGAGAATACTGCTACATTTACCAACTACTGTACAATGTCTCGGTGGAAGAATTCACCTTCCTCAGCGATTGGATGCATTCTAACAATTGGGATTCATGATTCGAATCGAGAATTGATTCTATTTTTAACATTTTTGTGCATGGCAGTGTGCCTCTTAATAGCTGGTAAGGGTGATGTGAACTCATTACATACAACATGGAAGAATTATAAAAACATCTGATTCTTAAAGAGACAACTTTATGCATGTATCTAATAATCGATGAAAGAAGGCATTATTTGACTCCTTGTGCACAAATATTCTTTAAAATGTTGTAGCACTTCTGAATTAAATACAGACAAGTCTTGGGTTTTACATTTGTATGAACTGTCAGAGCTGAGACCATGAAACTGGAGAGATATGGACTTGCTCGTGCATTATGGGACCATAATCCACACAAACATGGGCTCAGCAGTTTCACGTGCTGTATTGTCAAAAGACACATGCATGGTCGGGACGCATATCAAATGGTAAAATGTAACTTGTAACATGTAACAAGATTGGATCATACTCTTTGGTTCTATTGGGTAAAGTCACGTAGGTGAAAATAAAATAACAAAAAATCACGACGTTTCGGCCACAACACAAGCGGCCTTCATCAGGTGAAGGGACGAGACTGTCTCCAGCGCTGTCCTCCAGACAGTCTCGTCCCTTCACCTGATGAAGGCCGCTTGTGTTGTGGCCGAAAACGTCGTGATTTTTTGCTATTTTATTTTTTACCTACGTGACTTACCCAATAGAACCAAAGAGTATGGATCCTAGCAGTCACGAAAGCTTTAAATCTAGAAAAGATTGGATCATTTTACACGTTGTTGTGCTAACCAAGTAAAATCACACGATGCCACGCAACTTTTTGGACGCGAAGTCACCTTGCCATGATGCAAATTTTCAGGTCAATCCAAAACAATTTTTTTTTACGGATTATCTAAAATTTCCGATCGGATTTTTCCCAATCAATCTGAATATGAGAAACAACGCCCCTAAGTGTGCGCTATCGCCCTAATCCACACGGCTCCCCGTTCGTGCAGGATGCCGCGTTCACGCCATCGGTCGCACGTATGTACGCTGAACTTCTTTCGCACCGCACGTAGTCAACCGTGCCAATCGGAGGTGCGTCGCCACAGCGAAGGAAATGTTTAAACGTGGTAATAAAAAAAAAAATTTACTTGTCAAACGAACCATAACCCGATTGCGTAATCGTATGCACGCGGGGCATATATGAACTTGTGTCACGTGAGTTCGATTCGCAGCCAGGGCTAACATTGCGAGTGTTGAGGAGAACGTGCTGGGTCAGAGGGGCCCTCACCTGTCACGGTTCTTGGTGAGCAGGTTTCGCTCGATGGCCTCCATGAGGTTCTCAAAGCACAGGTGCATGGCCTGTTGCTTCTCCGGGGCCTGGCTGCTCACAATGTTGTTACGCAGCTCCGTAAAATACTGCACACGCCAAGACAGCATCGCACGAGGGGGGGGAGGGGGGGGGGAACTAAGTTTTGCTGCAGATCTCCCCGCACAAACCAAAGCCATTTTCTCAGTATTATTCATTTGCTGCGTCGAACAAAGGTCCGGTGAAATTTCCCGCAGCGCTGCCACCCCCTTTCTTACCTTCTCATTGAGGAGAATGAGGCCGAGTAGCGGGCGGGACATGGACCATTGGTTCCTGCAGTCCTCGAACATGATGATGTTCAGCACCGTGGAGAGCATCTGCGACGTGGAAAAAGCAGACGCGCGGTCCTATCATTCAAATGAGCACTTCCTCTACAAGCGGAGCTTTCGCGACGAACCCTTCCGAGAGAAGTGCATAGAGACTTCATCGCATCGATACACACACACATGACAAGAGATACAAAACAAATCAATCGTTTGTTAACAATTGTTTTGCTTCAAAAAACAAGGCCCTCCGGTGGGTCATTCTCGTAAACCCGCGAAAAAAATTCAATCAATCAAAAACAGGCTCAAGGAGAGAGTTGATGAATTGTAAATGTAAAATTATACTGCCGAGTGGCTTCAAGTAATTCGCATGTACATGTAGCAACCGGTTTGTGCACTGTTGAAGCATAATCAAGTATTAATGATGACATTATTAATGCTTAATATATGACCATAACACGTTTAAACAAACCCACTGCTATTTCCTTGCTGAGAACTTTCATCTCATGTTTCAGCTTTTAGGAAACATCAAGAATATTTACCGTACATGCATTATACCCCAACATATTGTATAGTAATGTTTGACTGAACATAGTTTCAATATGATCTTGCACATTAAGTAACATATTTAACACTTGCAAATATGCATTATGTGCCAGAGTAAATAATTGTGGGTAATGCATTATTATAGACAATTCTGCATGCAACAATAAAATATAAAATAACCATCCGGATGAAAACTGGGGCTGATGACCGAAACTGTTATTTTTGTGCGAAGAGACAGACTTATTGTATTTACTAACATGGTAACTTATCAAGAAAATAAACAGAAAAATTAATGCGTCATTTGCTTTGTTTTATATATACCGTATTCTGAACTATACAAATGATTTTTGGAACTAACTTTAAATTTAAGAGCTGACTTAATCACTGAATACCAAAACACCTTATTCGCAAGCCGGCAGGGTGAGTGCACGTCAGCATAACAACATGCTCACAAACACGTGAACTCCGATCATCCTCGCAGCAGCGGCTTTTGGCTAGCCATCGAACAAAGACGGTCACTGCATCGTGCGCTTTCAGATCCGCACTTCTGCGGCCGTGTTGGACAACTCTTCCCTCCGATATCAGGAAACCAACTCCAGCTATGCACATTTAAATATAGATTGAAAACGAATTTCTTTAGAACTTTTGTTTGGGTTTAGTTTGCTGCCCTTCACACCTCCCATTAGCACGGTCGGCTATGTAAGGTGTGAGAAGTTTAACATACATACATACATACGCATACGGTGCCCTAATGCATCACCACTGCAGCTTTCCTGTGGGAGAGGCCACACCTTCCAAACAAATGCTCTGCCAACAGACTAAATTGAGCCATCTGGATACATCCAAACATTTTCCTTCTTAAAACAAGCAAGAAAGTTTAAGAGATGCGAAATATGAAACACAAAAATATGTTGAGGGTACATTTGTAGGAGGTTCAGTGGAAGAAAGTGCCACTTGGAAAATGTCGCTCATTATTTTAGCCCTCAAAACAAGAACAAAACAACATACACAAACTGACCGAATCAAAGGAGGAAAACGAGTATAGAGAGACAGGCACATGCGTGTGATAGGCACGAGCGTGGCTCAACAGATCCCGCACACGGGGGCCTAATCGGTCTGCGGAAGAGGATCTACCGAGCGACCGAATCGGGTACACAGTGGTGAAACTGCAACAAATGACATTGGAGCCTTCCCCGAACAAACGTGTGCAAAGTAGAAGACTAATGAACAAAGCACACTTCCGAGTCGGCACAGTGAGCCGACAAGAGTGGAGGACGCAGCCGCCCCAAACGCAACCGAGTGCGCGCCCCCTCAATCTCTCTCCCTCCTCTACCTGCGTGGCGAGGTGCAACGTCCGCACGGATCCCGTCAGTCGGCGACGCAACTCGGTGGCAGCAACATGAGCGCTGCTTGCGCGCACGTGTGCACGCGCGTTCCCGGTGGGGCTATGATGAACGTGAACTTCACTCGCCCTCTAAGGTACTGGCGGCGAAGTGGCTACTGCCAACGAAGCCCCCAATTGTCAAGTAGAGAGAAAGAAAAAACCCACAGTGCGTGATTCACGTGTTGGCGGAGCCCCGTCTCGTCCCGATCAATCTCCCCGTCTTGGCAGAACCAGTTTTGCAAAATGGGCACCAGGCAGAAGTCATCAGCCAGGCTTAAGTAGCATTTTGTCAACTTGTGGCATAAAAGCCACCCAGTCCTTAAATGAGGACAGACAATGGGATAAATATGTAAGAAATAACATACACACCCCCACCTGCAACAAAATCCACTGGAATTGAAGATTCACAAGGGAGGATGTTTTTTCTGAATCTGCCAACGACAAGTTGACAATGTGCAAGGGGTGCACAGTGCAGGAACGGAATGTTAAATGCTCCACAATGACAACTCACTTGACACCTGTCATGCAATCAGATGGGTGTGGTTTCCAATATAAGAAACAAACCTCATCCTTTCTCTCACAAGCAGGACAAATGCGGCCCTTCGCTCGTTAACGATGCGGCTACAGTCGGCGGAGCACTGACCCGGGTCAAATCGTAAGTATGATTATCAGTTAACGTCAAAGCAAAATGATGCTGCCGCGGCGTACCTACGTTAACCGTTTAACCTGCAGCGAGGCCAATGTGCACGGGGTGTGGCGTTTGGACTGCGATCCGACTCGGCGGTAATAAGCGTAAAGAAACCGCATGAAACAAACGACAAGAAGAAGCAAATAAATAATTTAGCGGTGCAGGGGTGCGAGCGAGCCTTGCCGGTGCTGGTGTGGGTGAGACGGGGTGCGGGCCTGCTGGGAGGCAGGCAGCGTGGCGCCAGGCAAGTGAACTCCAGCATTCCGACACAGCGGTTCACGGCCGCCCTCTTTACCATCAACAAGACGCAGCTATCCGTCTCTTTCTGGGAACCGCGCTTTTGGAGGGGGTGGATGGCCGGGGAAGCTGGGGTGGGGGGCGCTTGCGAGGGCTCCCGCTCATCTTAGGGGGGGGGGGGGGGGGGTGGCAGTCCCGTGACGGTGATGACGAGGAAGGAGCTCTGACGAAGGCCAGCTGCCACTGCCCCGGGGATCAAAGGTCAGACACATTTAGGGTGAGGAGTCTCCTCGGCCTGTCTCTTTTGCTGCCAGCCCCTCCCCTTCCTCCATCTCCAAACCTCCTCCTTGCTCTCCCAAGTTCCTGCTAGCTGGCTCGCCGCCACGCGGGGACCCTGGCTGTACGTATCACCTCTGGCTTTCCTCACTCAGAGCGACTCGGTCTCTTCACGCTCGCACTGTTCCCTAGGTGCTGCCGCTCTTTTTGGGGTGAATGCTGAAGACAAATTATTTGCCCAGGCTCCACGTGGCCTAAGTGCCCGCATACCAAAGTGCAGGTAAAATGTGTTGAACACAAGCCGCTAACAGATTGTGCAGAGTAATACGCACGCGGACTTCATCATTGCATTACCTTTCAAAATACCATTCCCTGCTGAAATATACCTCTTTGGCCAGAACACATCACGTACGCAATTGCACGTTAATTAGAAACCGCTGCACGGTTCACGGGAGGGAGTAATTTTATCAGAAGTCGACTCTGGAAACACTGACGCTTATCTTCACTGCAGGTTGGCAGGCAAGCCTGCAGCTGGTATAAGTCATAAGTAATTATATGCCGTGTGTGTGTGCATGCATATAAGGTGCTTGCTAACAGCACTCATCGCAACAGTCTGATAAGGCTGTACGGGGGATGTTTGTCTTTAAAATAATAATGATCTAGTTTTATAGTGCTGCACATTTTAACATGTCGTTTCGCGCACGCTACAACCAAAGTGCAGCGATACTTCATAAACTGTCTCTCTTGGTGTCTCCATTAGGCTGCGTGGTAAGGCACCAGCGTTTTTCATCTGCCGATTCCTTCCCAGCGGCGCATGCGGTCGCCGCAACTATGGGAAGGGGGGGGGGGGTGAATGACACCGCCTCTGTCACGCAAACGCGGGCAGACCTGCGGTGTCGCAACCGGGTCAGGCGGCGGTCCCGACAAGCTCGCACAACGGCGGCAAACTAGCAGACGCACAAAGGCGCAAGCCAGGTGTCATGACCGGGTAAATCACGATCGGCTCGCATACAAAGCCCCGTTTGATTTGTTGCAACAACTCCTCTGCTGAAAATCCTGCCACATCTCCCTTCAGCGATAGTTTAACCTCTAGAGTATAAGCAGGGGGGGAAAATTACATCAACTTATAACAACAACAAAAAAAACTGCCGCCAGTTCTAAAATGGCAAAGCAGTCGGCCTACGCCTGTCTGGCAGTGACGTTGAGGAAGGCTTCTTCCTCGCACCCTCTCCTTCGAATATAAGATAATCCCGGGTAGCCCTAATGGTTCGCTATCTCAAACGCCGCTGCCCGTGCATCGCAGTACGGGGAGACGGATAGGTCAAATGCAACCTGTCCCGTGGTTTAATCAGAGGCACCCAGGTCTGAGGACGCGGCACTTTGATCGGCCCGCCGAACCTGGCAGCAGCTGCCGCCTCAGCGGATCCAGAGACGGGGGAGCTGCAGATAACGATCTTGGGCGGTGAATTTCTTTTCTCATTCTAGCAGAACGAAAACCCCCCTCTCCCAACACCACCACCCCCACCTCCTCCTCTCCCGGGAAATGGGCCAAAAGAGAGTTTTTCGAATTATTCTTGTCACTTGTAAGCCACGTATAGGTACATTACACTGTGATGGAAGCCCAAGGCATACACGGACAGGCCCTGGAACACGTGTGGCGTAGGAGTGGCTTGGTACTCATCACATCAAAGTGCTGCCCCCCTAGGGAGTTTTCTGATACGCAGTCCATTTTTTTCCCCCCAGCTCATTGCAAGTTCCATATTCGTTAAAGAACAGAGGAAAAATGCAGCTCGTGAACATTAAATGGCTCATTCCAAGTTTGATTATATATCGCGGTTCGTACTCAAATCTCGGTGCCTCGCGTGAGCACGCGGACCACTTGAAATTCCGCAAACAAAGGCTCGCTCAACGATATTTGCCAATGAGCGCCGTTGGAGTGGCGAAGACGTGGCAATAATCCCGTGCCCTCCTCCCCCCGCCCCTGTTCATCGGCTTAATAACGCCGACAAAACCGGCCATTACGCGCCTCATTTGCTTCACTTACAGTAAGCAGTCCCCCCCAAAAAGGCAAGGTGGGTGCCAGCGCCGCCGTCTTTCTCACACATTCCACGGTGCGCCGGCACACACACACACACACACGCGCGCCTGTAACATGTATCCGATTCCAGCGCGCTGGATTCCTCGCTTGTGCTGGGTTTTTTTTTGTCGTTGCACTCGGCGTGTGACGGCCGCTTCACCTGGCGCCCTCACACGTTCCCTCAATGTGAAAGTCTGCAAAACCAGTCCGACTTCATCAATAAGTTATCATTATCGCAAAAGGGTGCGCGGCGAAAAGGGAGGGCGAGGAGGGTGGTGGTGGGGGTGGTTTCGGGTGGGGAAAGAGGAACAGGAGTAGGGAGGGGGTGGCGGGGGGGGGGGGGGATGGGGAGCTGCGCAGTGGGGAGATTGCTGGGACGTGTCGGGTGGGGGGGGGGGGACGAGGGAGAAGAGGGGAGGGGGGCAGCGTCAAAGAGGAGGTGCTGTCTCCGTCCCCAGACAAGGCAGGCTCCAGTGCTGACAGCCACAGGGAACGAAGCCATTACTCAGCCACGTTATTGGACAGGAAACAAGCATTAATGCCAGCACAACAAACCATTAAAGAAGGGGCCCCAGTAATTCGATGGCCAACTTGTCTATACATCTGATACTCTTTGAGGGACATTTTAAAGTAATTCACCTTCCCGAAATGTTACCGTAAGGAGCGAAACGAGAGTCATATCGGCCAGACGGAGAGGCTCTGTGTGCGCGTGGAAAGGAAGCAGCTTTCAGAAGATGGGCTACCGTTCAGACGTGGAGCCGCGCGGGCATTAGTACTGCTTACCTAATTCCTTTATGAAAAGCAGAGATGATAAAAGTAATTGATCTGGTTTAAAAAGGCTCCACTGTCAATTGGACCTCCTATTTATCGTGATGTATTGTTCAGTTGCTTACCAGTTAAGAGTTCATTATATTTTTGCGATACCGTTATTCACCAACGCAAGGAAAGAATGCCAACATCGTTGTACTGTAAACGTAGGGCATTTGTTTATAGCAACTAAGACGTATCTGTTTATAGCAACTGAAAAAGTACACCCGCAATAAAATAGCAGCTGGGTGGGCTTGCGTTTAAGCGTGCTTTAGTCTGAGCTGAGGGCTCACTGGATCCGATCTGATCACGTCCCTTGATAAAAAAACACTGCGGGGGACAAACTGAAGCGCACAGGCGATGGCCATTAAAACCCAACGGCAGGTCGGCGTGTCTATAAATTTGCTACGTGCGAATAAAAAAACTACCCCGTGCAATTGTTAAAATCACCGGCGCTGACCCCCCCTCCCCTCCTTAACGAACGCATGCCGGCGGGGTTGACGCACTAGCCGTGGCGATTTGGTTGGGTGTAGAGCTAGGAGGAGCTGCTTTGCCTCGGCCACATTACCAAGGGCTAGCGCCAGGCGTGTGAGCGATGATGATTTATTAACGAGCGCCATCATCGCCGCTACCGTCGACGCCGCTGCGGGTATGCAACATACAGTGCGACGTCGGCGCAGTTTAACCTCTAGGCCACAAGCCGTAAAGGGGTCGTGACCTCCGTTGCTGGGGGAAACTGTCCGCGCGTGGGCTCACAGGTAAGACGTGCCCATCTGGCGGATCGCAAAGCGCTTTGCCGGAGGGAACGCGAGCGCAATCCAGGGCTTGCCGCCGTGTTTCTGTTTGTTTTATGGCGGGTTGGCGCTGCGTTGACCTGTCACCTGGCTCCAGGCTGGGACGCAAGTTGCCATTCCTTGTAAATAACTGCGAGGGCAAGCTATCAATGGCATTTCCAACTGTTCAAAAAAACCACAAGTGCCTGAGAATTCTTTTCACTGTAAGATACTCATCTGTGATAACAATTCACTTCTTGAGATATCCTTTTCCTGACAATTTCTTTCTGTTTGGCACAAACGACGGTGATCAGGTTATTTACCGAGTATGACACAAATTGATTGCTTACAAAGATAACCAACACCTTTAACAAAGTAACAAAAGAAAGAGACAGCAAACATGACACATTGTAAAGGACAAGCGGTATTAACATAGTTTTCTGCCTCACCTTTACAGCCTCGCTTCTATTGAACTTCATCAAAGCGGCAAATGGTGACATCAGGAGGACTTCTTGTGTTGACAGGGTACAGCGATTAAGCATGAAGCCGTTTGTAAGGAAGCCAATGCGAGCTCAGTACATCTATGGCGCCTCTTGACAGATCCGATTTCTCCAGATCCGTCCACACCCACGCGTTAAAAATAACACCCTGCCGAAGGACTGCTTCCTTTCATAACGGTGCTGAATCGCAACAATCAGAAGGAATAATTTATTTTAACAAAGCTGCAGTTCAAAGGCCATCCCATTGTTACAGCAGGACTTTCCTCCTACATAAAAGGTGGCAGACACTTTAATTTTGAGCGCTGTTAGAGCTGCTCTCAACTGTCAAGCCACGCGGATAAGAACAACCTGTTGACGGAACACCCACAGGTTACGGATTTGTGATCGACTGATACTGTTTATCAAAGGCCTCTCACCTGGTTCGAGACAAAACCCGCCCCGAGTTCATTACCAAGTCTCCCAGTGCAAGCGATATCACACCTCCCGAACAGAAACTCATTCATTACTAACCCATGCCTTGAGGGGATTAAGGAGCCCGCAACGTGAGTGTGTGCGTGCGTGCACACAAAAAGTGCAGAACCTTTGCACCGATGTTTTGCACAACCAGATAAATCCCAGCGACCCGGAGTCAATACTTGGGCGGACAAACGTCAGTGGCAAGAGGCATCAAGGTCTGTCCCAGGCCTCCCCCTAGGTTGATAAAAGAATAACACGAAGAATGTAAAACATATGTAAATTTGAGTTTTGAAAAGATATTCTTACCTATGTAGAATGGGGGTGAAGATATGACGTAATCTCTGTTCATTGTTCATCATCTCTGTTCATCATGTTTTTAAGTAATAACTTTTTCTGCTGGTACGGGTTGCGGTCACATGGGCACTGAGTCACTGACTGACTCTCGACGAGTAAGAAGCAGCTCATAATTAAGCCAGACCACGGTAAAAAAATAAAGGAGGATGGTTAATCTGAAACAATACGAATCATGGATAATGGAGAGTTTATCCATGATTGGATTGGTGGAAAACACAAATGACCAAAGATAGGGCTTCATGAAGTGATTTGTTTACCTCTCCTATACTTTGCACTCTTATCGTATTTTTGTAATGTTTACTGTTGTAACGTTCTGACCTGCCCCTACTGGACATCTTTGAAAAAGAGCTTCATAACTCATCGGTTCCTCCAGCATAAATAGAGCATTCTGATTCTGTTAATTTAGGCGGGTCTGTCCAGGCCAGCGACCTAGAAAACATTTCCACCTCTGACACACCACATCGAGAAAACCTTCAATTATGGCAGACGACTAGTCATGTGTCTACTCCATTCTACTAAAATATATTCAGTAAGAAAATGAAGCACTGACCGTAGGTGCTTGCCCATAGCTCTCGTCCCCCCCCCCCCCAAAGCCCGAATGGAGATTCAATTGAGGGCGCACCTGCTGCATGATGTCCGGCCGCTGCTGCAGGATGTGGAGGAGGCGGTCGCGATCCTGCGGCACGGCGGACGCGGGCCGCTTCTTGCCGTTGCGGGAGAGCTGCTTGAAGAGGTACGTGACCATGTGGTCGAGGCTTGCGCAGCAGCTGGTGCACACCATGGTGTCTGTGCGCGCCGGCAGCAACAGCAAAAACAACTGTTATCATCATCCTCCGCTAAAACGCGGGGCATCGCCGCGTTTAAGATACCAGTGATGCCGTTTAAGAATGCTGCTATTATTTCACGCGACCTGGCTTATATTGTTGCTTCGTATTTCGGCGATTTAACTTTTTGTTTTAAGATTCCGGCTCAAAGTACACAGCGACATCAAATGGCAACGCGCAATGCATATATGGACAAAGTGCGGCGTTAAGCAAAGACGCGGGGGGACCAGCGTTTACAATAAATTAAAAAACCGAATACAAAAACATGCCACCGTAGAAACGAGCGGAGATCAAACAGTGAGCATAGCATGCGTACGCAAACAATCCTCCAAACACAAGACACTGAGACCCACAAATCTTGCGGAGGGCCCTTTTGCCTCGTGCCGCGATACTGGTGGAGGCTGGAGGGGTCGAGGCCCCATCGGTCCACCTTCTAACAGAGCGGGTCTTTTTTTTTCAACCCTGGAGCCAGCCGCCAGTAAATATTCCAGAAAACTCAACAAAGCATGAACAAACACTGACAGAATCTTATAGTTTTCCTTTTCTTGTTTTCTCTTTGTTCTTCTTTCAAGTCTCTCTAATGTCAGGACCTTGCCACTGACAATGTAATCATCCACCCCACTGCCCAAGCTTTGAGAGAGTCTAAATGCTGAGGCCACTCAACGCTGCACATCCAAAGGGAGGGATTGAAATTTTTATTCCCAGCTGAAAATGTATATTTCTTTAGGAGGCATGAAACAATGCACCATTTAACCAATTAAAATAGATTCAGATTCTGATGGAACGGTGCATTCCCGAATATGTATTTGCGATTTGTAAACGTTGTATGTCATGAGTTCATGTGACCCTGCGCAGCCACAATGACTGAAGCTATTCTTTAATTGAATTGTGACAATCACATTGTGAGCGAGGTGAATCGCTACATGTCTAGTTTTGGCGCTCAAGTGGAACCCTACAACAAATCATAAAAACACTTTCAGAGCCCTCTTCTGAAAATTCGTGGGTTTGTGCAAAGCACTCCAGGAACCTCCGAAACACAAATGTGGCCCACTATCTCAAACAACACCCGCATAAAAACTATTAATTAATATTTCTATAGCCGATAATTATTCAACCAGGGTGGCACTTCACACCAGCGGTGTGATATTTATATTAATAAAATGCAATAAAGTCGGTAATGTTATTTAATGCATTTTAAATTACATTTTTTTTACCAAGATGTTCCATGGGTAGGGCTATTAATGTTTTTTTGTTGATAATTAATAGCGAGGAAGGGAATTTTTTTATGACTTTCTAAATGCTTTGCAGCCGCCAAAGAAATCGTATAAGTTCTCAATTGATGCATTTCATCCGTGCATTACAGAGCAAATCCAATTAAGCTCCTGCCTTTTCCTATTAAAATCAAAGGCAGACAACTCCCATTACAAGGAGCTCAGTGCAAAACTATCAGATAAGGAGCTGTCAAGCGAAGACTGTTTCTATTTTTGAAACAATGATCTACTACAGCGATAAGAGTGACATGATAACTCTACGGTACTTTCAAAAAGACGAAAAAGTGGTATTTGTCTGCAAGTTACAACAAAATTAAAATTGCGTGACATGTTTTTTCATTAGGACTAAGACAGCTAAGGGGAGGAGGCTTATACCTGCTGGGTCAGCGACTGGCAGGTCACACGCAATGATGCGCTCCGAATAAATTCAACCGCAGAGGCCGGGCCCCGGTAATTTACAATCGACTCCACGTGAAACAAAAACTGGGACGTTGGCACTGCTTTCTGCCGACAAATTTCCGGCAAACCGGTTGTGCACAAGAGTAGTCGGCTGTGTCGAGGTGCTGCGTTTCTGGATGCTGTTACCCGTGAGATTTAATTAATTGCTATTATGCGACCACTTTGCGAAGTGTGTGTTTTAAGAGGGTTTAGTGCAATGAACTTGGCAATTTTGATTTCCGGCCAGACCTAACATCAGTGGCGAGCAATATTTGAACCGTATCTGAACTAATTCTGGGTCAACCATTCACCAACCCGCCCTGACCGGTTTGTTCAAGTCTGGTCAAAAGTTCCCAGGAGTGACACTGCGTGCCCAGGACTTCATCCAACAGTGGATTGCAAAGTATTGCAATTTGTTTTTAATTATATGTAAAAAAAAAAACGCAATGCATGTCAATACTATTATTATGGATGAATCAATACACACGCTAAATGAGAACGAAACAATTTCAAATGGAAAAGCATTGAAATGCTAATGGCAAAGCCAATGTCAAACCCAACATCCCTACTCAGCAATTATTCCATTGATAATGCCCACGAGTGCACATTACAGCTCGCGGCTAAACTCAAATGTAAAGTGCAAGTGAAAGCATCAAGTTTAAAATGAAAACAAAAACCGCTAAAGAAGGAGCAGATAAACTCGTAAACTCAAGGGCCCTTTTTACAGCAGGGCACATCCAAGTCTCTCTCCGCGGAGAACAAGCGCGCAATTCTTGAAGCGTAATTTCTGAAGGGTCTCAGCGTGCCCACAGTTCTCCTCGGCCATGCTGGAAAGCCAGGCCCACCTGACCGCGCTAAGTGTGACAGATTGCATTTCGATGGGGCAGGGGATGTTTGGTGGAAAGTTGAAACTCCCGCCTTTCATCTGCTGTGATTAACGACGGCGACATGAACGCTGTTTATACTGGCCGGAATCTGTTCCCTTTTCCAGTTTCTCCCTATTTCTCCGCTGTAACCCCCCCCCCCCCCAACCCTCCGCCCCCGTCACCCCCACACCGTTTTCAAGCCACCACGGGAAAAGAGACCTTTTTCAGCCACCGACTGTGTTACAGCTGTCATAGCTGGCTGCACATTCCTGCGCTGTGTTCGACTTTAGATGCCTTGCTCCCTTGGGTGGCTGGCGGGCTTTTCAGCACGGAGCCCTCAGCCGAGCCATCACACAGGATACAGTATGTCATCCCGCCTTCATGAGATTCGCTTAGACTAAACAGGTTTTTGTTACTCGCTCCTGCTCATGCAGGTAGGCCAGCTCTCAGGGGACTGTGGCTTCAAAGGAAAAAGAACTGTATCTTTTTTTCCCCCATTTGTTTTTACAATCCTTTCACGTTCGTCTGGTGAATTTGTACCAAGGCTCACGCTTATATTTTGATTGCAGCTTCGCGTGAGCGTCAAACAAAAAATGGCGACTCTAGCGAGTTGTTCAACGGGTACACGACCGTACGTTATCCTGTGTCAGAGTCCAAGGGTCAAGTTCAAATTTAATTGAGCGAGAAAAACTACACAAGCATGCCACTTGAAATCAGTTATTTCCATAAATTATGCAAACTCTGGTAAATATGTCCCCTTTACGAAAAATTAATTTTCGGAGGGATTCTTTTTTTTTACGTCACCCTACCCACCTGACAAGACGCTTAGCGTCACGTCAAGCGCTCTCAAAACCGCGGAATAAATAACCGCAGCGCGAAATGGAATTTTCAACCTAATCCGTTATACTTTAACTATGAACAAGGACTGTAACTAAATATCAAAAACGTGGAGGGAATCAAATCGGCCTTGACATTCATCGCATATTCCATCACGTGGCGCTGTCACGTCTTGTTTTTTGGGGCGGTGGGCACAGCAACGATGCATCATCTTTACGACGCTATCGATTCGCTTCACTGCAGCCAGTGTTGCAGCCACGGGGCGACCGTAATTGCCGCACAGGGTGGTGTCCACTTTCAAGTTTGTTTAGCATCGGCTTGTTAGGCATGGGGCCAAATTGTCTGGCCCTCCCGCGACTGCTATCCACGAACAGCTTTCCCCGACGTGAACCCGATCCCGTTTGTAGGTAGTTTAGCCACGAGATGTCTGCCTCCACTTTGAACCCACAATCAGAGCGAGGGCTGTCAAAGAGAACAGATTGGATGGGAGCAGGGAGGAATAATAACGAGTAAAAAAAACTAGAGGATAAGGCAACTGTTAAAAGATTTTGAACAGGAGGCGGTACACCGAAGTGGGCTCAGATTCCTTAGATAGACTTCACAGGATGGGCACGCGAGTGGAGCAAGATGGCCTTTCGTAAGAGAGGTGGGATTGGTAAAATATCATCGATGGCAAGAGGGGTAACAACAGAACCTGTGGAAGCCACACAGCAGTGGAAAAATGCTGTACACATGGGGAGGGAGGGGGGGGCAGAATAACACAACATGAAAACAACCTCATTATAAATCCATTTATAAAAAAATATTCGATCACGAAACTAATTAAGCTTTAATGTGTATAGGGCGACCATTTATTATTTTAATCAAATCTGCGTAAGAATTACATTTTATTTAGGTAGGCGAATGTATTTCTCAAATGTAATTGCATAATAGCAGCTCTTTTGTCTGACCACAGGATATTAATTTTTTTAATTTGTGAATCATCAAGGTTAAAATCCATTTACACAGCCCTGCTAATTTTATTGAAAGTTTAAAACTTCAACTTTGAAAATGTTAAACATGTTATATTGCAATGGACTGAGATTGCATTCGGTATTTTAAAACACAGATGATTAAAGCAGACATTTATAGAAAAAAGACATCTAAAATTTAAGGGAAAACTATGTGAAGTGTCTCCAATTTGGTTCAGGTAAAAAAATCATTACTTTGAACATTTAACCTCAGCATCTATTTGGACAATAATAATGCTTAATATATAACTTTTGTTCGAAGATTAAGCTACTCATTCATGTAGGCTATTATTCGAAAAACTTTACAGTATTTAGAATTTACAGCCCTTTGTCAATCCACTGCAGGATGAAAGCCGCACCTTGTCGCTAATGGGGTTGTGTTGACCATATTTCACCACAATGTTCAGTGCAGGTTGCTGACGCGGGGGGGAAGAGGGCAGTGGGGAGCAAGTCAGGACCAGTTCACACGTCAGATTATTGGGCCCACACCATGTGCCAATACATTGCTCCAATTTTAAGTATGTACATATTTGTGAAATAGACAAAGGGCCCCCCCCCCCCTTCAACCCAAACTTTTGGAGGAAATGCTGCTAATGAGCACCTATGAAAGCTGGCACAGCACCACGCTGGGCCACCTTTTTCTCCCCAAATAATTATTTTTACACACTGCACCAGGTACGGTTTAAGGTTGAGTCGAGCTCAGGGAGGCCCCCCCCCCCCAGCACTGGTTTAGATATTTACCACCGACGTTGTGAGTGGGAATCGAACTCAAGTTGCTGGGTTCGTTATCCTGCGGCGTGACCGACGCCATTGAGCGACGCATGTTATTATTCCTGGTGAAGCTTTAAAACACTAAGGTACGCGCACAGACAGAGCTTCTGGTCACATATGAGCCAACTTAAGTACATGCAAAGAAACATCAACACATGGAATTTGCACGCAGAATAAGAAGGAATGTTTTATAAAACAATTTTCAGACTTTGGGTCAGGTGTTTGGTGCCAGGTAGCTTTGGGAAGGCCATAGGGCCGATTAGCCTCATTAACCCCCGGCAGGCCGCCCATTGCTGTGTTTTGCATACAAGGGATTGAGCCGCGACCAGCCGCTCCGCCCAACCGCACCATCGGACCTTTGTACTTGCCATGATGGCGCGCAGTAATGCACAGAGCCTGGAAGAGCGCAGGACTCAACTCCACAGAGCAGTGAAGGCATCTCTCAGCAAATGTAATCTCTCCCAAGGCCGAATGACCTAACCTGCAAATCCCCCTGGCTAGCCACGATGCCATTTCGCGGTATTTGGACTTGTGTGTGCGGGGTTTTTTTTCCTTGTTTATAGTAAGGTTACAATTTCACTCTCGTGATTAGGTGGTACAGCTGCCCTGCGTTGGCCCCGATCAGCAGAATCATGATTCTTGGCCACTGGGCTTGCTAACGATTCGCCACCCTCGTGAATCAATGAATTGTGGTTTGATTCAGCACCACTAGTGGCTGCAGGTGGTGATGTGAACAAAATATGTACGATAGTAATAATATATACTACATATATTAATCAAGCAAGCTCTATTGTTGTACTGTACTGTGCTCAAACATGTTTCCCACCTTCACCAACCGGCCCTGCCTAGGATGGTAATATCACCTCCATGACCCACATGGTGTGGGCGAGGCGCTCATCCAGCAGTGGATTGATAAAATGGGCTGTACGTGTTTTTATGAACTGCAAATACATCATCACAAGTTTGATCTAATGCACATCGTATTAAAGTAAGAAATGGTGTTTCATCACTTCGCTCAAGACCCAGCAAGATGAAATGTGCATCTAACGCTGTACGGCTGCCATCCACGGGAGGAGATACCAACGCCAACCTCTGCGCAACCACATCACATATTGAGCCATCGTGTTCTACAGGAATTGACCATTTTAATTGCGTGTTGCATTTGCATGCAACATGCCAGCATATTTGGCCAAGCATATAGTTCCTTACCTCACCAAGTTCCTACAAGCCATTCACAAGAAGGCCTTAAAGGAACAGCCATTTATCAAGGTTGCACTCTACTTAGCTCAGATTGAGTTCAAGTGACAGGGCTGGCTTGCCTCTGCATCCAACAGTGCTCTATACTGGGGCAATTGATGAAAGTTTATGAAATAAGAGCCCATCACATAATTCAGACGGGCCTTTATTTAAACCAAGTGAGAGCCCATTTACTGTGACACAACTGCATTGAATCCCACATACGTTTTTCAACCATGCTAACAAATAAGAAAAAAATATGCACCTGGCCATCATGAAAGAGAAGGCCAAAACGCATTCGAGAGGGGCCTTCTAGAGCTCCCAGAAGTGGACACTGTTCTGCCACCAGCGAAGTAAGCAAGCAATTGGAGGACTTTTATTTATCGGTATCCTTTTATATAGTGCTGCTTAGAGCACAAATGATTAACCTTATAAAACAACCTCAAATTAACATGATTCAGACCATACAATAATTGGGTGAGCAATGACTTTAAAGTGTACAGGGTGGCTGTAAATCAACTTTATTGTCTGACACTTGTAAAAGACTGACCACGAAGACGTTTAGGCGCCCACATCTAGGAAAATTGAGCGAGCGCTTTTCCTGCGTGCGGTTTGACGTGAGAAGTTTACCAAGGGTTCTTTCTCAAGCAATGGTGGGTTTGTTATTGTACCATGGAAAACAACTTGACCAGCCAACGTAAAGGTTAAATGTTGTATTTTTAGAATATCCGATCAGGCAGAACAATAGTTAAGAATACCTACGCCAAAAATGGAACCATACTGCCTGCCTGCACTGACGATGGTCTTGGTCGTTTCTTACATTTTCTGGTAAATAAACATCACATTGCTAAGCAATGTGGAATTTCTGTCGTCGTCCTCCTTCTTTCCTGCTTGACGAATACCTGGCCAATGTTACCCGTGCAACGGCCCCGAAAACGTTAACGCGCTCGGAAACAATGAATTCTGCTACCGCGAGTTCCTTTTGTTTTTTTTGGAACCAGTGGCAGAAAAGGGGAAGCCACGCCATGTGAAGGTCCGCATCGTGAGCCACCTGCCCCCGTCCGCAGAGGTTTTTCAGGGAAAAGCTGTGGTTTGGCAAAACACCGAGCCGTTCCCCGAAGTCCAGCGAGTGCGCAATACTCGCCTGGGCCTGGAAGACGACGCCAGCTCCGCCTACACGAAATCGTTTCCCTATTTCCCAGGCTTCTCCGCACTTTGGCGATGACCCGACAACTGTCCTAGCATGCGGCGCCTTGCCTCGGAAACCTGGCTTCTGCCAAGGCGTGACACTCGGACTGTGCGTGCGAGAGTTCCTGCCGACGCTCATTTATTGCCACGTCTGTTCGTAGGTGCGGTAATTGTGCGCAAATGTGTTCCTGCGTCTCAGCACATTACGTAAGTAGCAGGCATTCAACCTCGCAGTGTTACGTGGCAGCAGGTGCTATTATTCACAAGGAATGATTCAACTATTTTAATGAGCAGCGTATGTTCAATGAAAACCATAACTCCTTTTTAACGAGAAGGGACATTACATACAACACAACCATTCATTTTAGGAACCCTCTGCGAGAAAGCATTTGGCAACAAATAGCTTTAAAGTAACAAAAAAGCCCAAACACACAATGGACATGAGGTAGCAGATAACCCACAACTGTAGTGGCAGAGGAAGATGCTAAGGAACTAGGGTTTCCAAGAATTCCTTTCCTTGCTGACAATGACATGTCCGCACAGCAGCCATCCCCACAGCGTGACCAACCACATGGCCAAACAGAGGAGCACGTGTCACCACAATGCTTAATATACCACCTCATGTTCGTTTCATGTGCACGCAGATGCAGACACGTCAATTATTTATTTTGTTTACTTTGACTTATTTTTTTCCAGAAAATGTATGTGCGTGCTTTTTTTATTTGAAACCCTTTGTCAAACCACTGTTCAACAAAGAAAGGACTTCGCATACTGGGTGGGTAATGGGGGTTGTTCCATAATACTTCACCATACTGGTGAAGGAGGGGGGATAAGTGGGGGGGCGAGTAGGACCAGTTGAAATTATCACTCGCCACTGATGTTAGCCATCGTCGGGAGTCAAACTCGGCCGACCAAGCTCATAACGCAGTGTGCGAAACACCGCTCCCCAACCCATACATTTAGCTGCCAGTTTCGTTCACATTACACATCTGGCTAAAATGTAAGCCACTACAGTAGATTTTTTTCTTAATTTCCTGGTGAGGTTGGGCAATATGACCAAAAACTTCTTGTAAATTTAGATTCGCCACTAAAAAAAATACAATGGTCTATTCTTGCCAGCGTCATGGGATCCCTGGCATGTACAAGGAGACGCAGCAGGGGGCTTAACAACCCAGCCAAACAGGACATAATTATAATTATATATAGTTTCAAATCTATATAGTTTCCTAAGCTTCCGAAGCTTAACTGCTCCTGTTAAATCATGTGTACATCCTGTGCAAAAAAAATAACGATACAAAATAATAATGTGCAGGCTTTTTGTCGTTTCACTGCTGGTCTGCCATGGGGACTGTTTGACCATACTTCACCAAGCCGACCAGTGTGGGTTGGTGAAGGGGGAGGTGGTGTCCACTACCGTTTCAGATATCACTCGCCACCGATATTATCCATGGCCAGGTATCACTCGTGTAGCTGGTTTCATTGCGCAGTACGCCAACGGCTTTGCTTCACCCTGTGTACTGACACCGATATCCTTTATGTTTGTTGAGCATGCTTTCGTTGGATATTCATGATGATGATGATGGCATTATGCTCAAAGACATGGACAAATCAAACTATCATATGAAGGTGTGTGACATTTATAATAGCTGTTTCTTTTGTTTGTATATTTGTTCTTTGATTGAAAAAAAAGCATTTTTTAAACAACTTTGTTTATTAGTACAGCTACACTGTTCATCTTTTGACCATTGAGATATTCCTGTCATATGTACTGCACATCCCGTGTATCTTTTTCATAGAAGACTTTTGACTGAATAAAAATGAAGTTCACGAATGATGAAGATCCAATACACGACAGCAAATTCAAATGATCACGGTCCGTTGAAACACTATAAACAATGCCGTTCACTTATCCATAAAAGCTTCACTCAGTCTTAAGACTCTTTCAGGAGGTTCCTGCATTAGGATGTTTGGGCAAACCCATTCCTGAGTATTTGACATTATTGGCCTTCTTGGCCCAGGGCCGCACTATGATGTTGATTTCTCTCCCATGATCTGCTTGCCCTTACCCACCACCCCCCCTTCCCATTCACCTTCCTCCCCAACTTTGTCACCCACTTCTGCAAAGCGTCTACAGACACCGCTGCATTTTAGATATATGTCGAACTTCTTTTGCACTGTACAAAGCCAACCGTGATAAACGGACATGCAACATACATTGCAATTGTTGTTACTATATCACTGACTAATGAATGCCTAACAAACACAGGGGCCTTGGCGACACAGAGGTTGGGTCCTCTACGCCCCGGTTCATGTGAACAACTCTCAACTCACCCAGCGCAGAGAGGCCCTCGGAGACGGAGGTGAGGATGTAGAGCAGCACCGAGGGCTCCAGGCCGACCAGGAAATTCATGTGGTCCTGCGTGAGGCACTCCAGCAGCGGGGAGTAATACGACTGGCTCAGCTTCGGGTAGTTCTGCAAAGTGGGGGGGGGGGGGGGGGGGGGGGGGGTACACGTGACCGCGTTTCCGATTAATACTACCGGTTTAACTTGAGGGGGAATGAGAAAATCACTTTGTCTTGATCGGCACTAATACGCGAGCGACGACCGCAAAGTTAATTGGGAGCGACTAATGCACCATGCTGTAAACAAGGTGATGTGCTCTGCGCTCGCTCAAGAATTCCTGGAGGTAAAGGATTTAGAATGAATATTTAATCAAACGGCGAGACCTGGTATATTTTGAATTTACATAACATCTCAAATAAAGGTGTATATCCAAACACTGGGGGAATTAGTAGATTAATGGGTTTGAGAGAGGTGAAAAAAACTAAAGAACACAAGACACTATTGGACAAATGGACAACACAATACCGACACGACAGCTTTCAAAAGTGATCGAAAACGGGACGTTATTCTTTGCAGTGGCCATTACCACTGCAGTGTTTATCATGTAACACAAATTGGAATGGAAATGTTGCTTGCATTCATTTGCTTGAATGAATGAGTCGTGAGCACAAAGGCAATGATGAAGTGAGTTCAAGAGAGATGGCCTCACTCTTGGTAATGTTAAACATTATTTGTATTGCCAACACCTGGGGAAAGCCCATTCATTATAGACCACACGTAAACATAGTGCTCTAAGTAATGCTAATAATTACACACGAACCGGCACGGGAAAATAAACACGCACTCCAAGAGAAACTCGATACAAGCATTAGGCCCGCATCCAAATACAGTACGTAATTAAAGGATTTAATTATTCTCCGGGTAACATAATGCACGCAAACAGTTTGGACTTACAAATTTCAAATGAAATTATCAGACAAAAGTGAGCCTTCAATTACATGACAAATAATGGAGAACTTTGAAAATGACACGAAGCAGGCTACATGGGCACGAGATGGCAAAAGAGTTATAAGAATGGGCAAAACGCGCAAGTATGTATATTGAACTTCTTTTGCACCCTATGTAGCCAACTGCGCTAATCAGAGGTGCGGGGGAAGGACAACAAACTAAACACACACACAAAAACAGCAACCAAGGAGAGCAAGGCTGCAGAAGATGGAGCAGATGCAATTAAATCAAGGCACATCTTCGTGCATATAGTATATAAAAAGCAAGGGCGCAAGTTTAAAACCCCGTAGCGTTTGGAGAGGCCATTTTGTGGCATCTGGGGTTGTCAGGCGGATTTCCATTTATACCTCCTGCACTCGCCTGCAGTGTGCAATGATCTGTGGGTGACGTGACGGACCGCATTTCACCGCAATCACAATAACGCTTTTTCCTTTACTGCCCCACTTCAAGGAGGTAGCCGCACCTCGCACATGTTGATCAAGGCTCACATTGGCAGAGGACGGGTTGCAACGGGCAACACGTTACGCAAGCAAGGGGGAGGGGCCCCTCAAGAAAACAGCGGCGAGTTTCGCGAATGCTCGACGACGAATCACAAAAGGCAGTGGAAGCAACCCAGAGCGGAGCGTCGTCTGGACGTCGTGTGACCCAGCCACAGGACATCTCTGTGTACACACGCGGCGGGCCGGGTGGACGCCCCCATTGTGCGCCAGCTATTGGGAGGAAGGGCAGCGAGCCTCCCTCGGTGGGCTCGTCGCGTCGGCAGAGGAAGCCGCCAGCATTTTCGACGCGATTTTTGGCAGGGGAGGAGGGGGGTTTGGTGGTGGCCGAAGGCAGTCGGGGGTGGAGTAGTATAGTGGGAATGAGGATGGGCACGGGGGACCTGAGGGGCTAAATGCACAGGATGTGTACGGGCAAAGGTGCTGCACCCTCGGAAAACGCAGCGGTGCAACGACGTGGGAGGGTCCTGGCTACGCGCCGCGCACTTAGAACCCAGGTGTCCTACATTCAAGTAGGACACTTGTAAATATTTAGTTTATATTCCGCGTCGGTTAAAACTGAGTGGCCAATTTATAATTACACGCGGGTTTTCGCGGTTGTGCCGAGCAGTCCTCTGATGCAACAATATGCGGTATGAACACATCGCAGAGCAAGACTACTTAACATTGTAACTTCTATTCTTAGTTCTTTCGGTAAAGTCACGTGACTTTACCGAAAGAACTAAGAATATGAATTACTGCAGTCACGAAAGCTTTAAATCAAAATTGTAACTTCTTTTCGAGCAATGGTTTAGGTTTTGCTCTCCCTTCGTTTGAGTGAAATGGGTGAATCTTTAGGAAAATGTTTAACGCATTGCCACGTTGTTCTTATGTTAGCCTATGAAAGAACAAGACAAACTACATTCATTTGTAATTTTCGTGAAAACGTGAATGTATTGATGTGGCTATTGATGCACAAATTGACGTCTCAATGTCTTCCATGGACATATGTGCATGATGATTAAATTAGTTTTTCTATCTAATCAGGATGCTATGATTCACCCCATAGAGATGTTATGAATTATCAAGATTCATTGTCACAATTAAAAGATCGATTCTTTTTGTCTTATTTTCACCGTCTCATTGTTTGTTCCATCTTATTTGGACAGTTTTGTTCTCGATATTACCCTAAAATAAGTAGCATATCAATTGCACATCGTTTACCGAAATTGTAAACAATCTCCTCTCACATTTATGATGCAATGCTTGTACCGCGAGCACGCGACTACACTTTAATCAACGAATCGATGCCTTTAGTGATAAGATCTAACAAGGACGCAACGATTCACCGCCTGGGGAATCTGACAAATGAGCAAGAACTCATCATCACAACTCAATTCACGCCCAATGTCTGACGAAAAAAAAAAACCCAGAGGCCAATTTGAATTTCACTTTAGATTTTTCTTCTCTTGTTTACATTTCTCAATGACTGCACCCACACCACCCCCCTCAAACACACACACAAAAAAAAACTGACGGCGCCGGTCTCTGTGGACCGGCATGGAGCCCCCCCCCCCCCCCGCCCCCCCTCGGGCGAGACGGGAGGCCGGCCGTACGAAAGGCCGGCCGGCCGTACGGACGGACGCCGCCACTCACCAGCAGGTCGGCGTGCGGGATGGTGAGGAGAAGCTTGACCGCCGTCTGCAGGGCGTTGTCCAGGGCGCTGTCGCCGTACAGGCGGAAGACGCCGAAGTTTACATAGTTGCCGCACAGCGCCGCTTTCAGGATCGAGAAGCAGATGGAGATCCCCTTGAGCTTGAGCGGGTAGAGCTGGTCCTTGGGAATCTCGCCCAGAGACAGAATCAGGTTGCCTGCAGGTTGGATAAGGATATGGAAAGAGGGAAAGAGTTGTTGGGCAGCGTAGGGAAAAGTGGTGCACCCCGCGTGTCACCGTGGTCATGTTGGGACTATTTGATAAACTGTTGAGCGGGGCACGAGTGTGCACTGTGACAGATATATTTAAATACTTTATGAAAAAGCTTATCGCAAGGACACATGAATTACTGCAAATGTCAACAATTATGTGTTTAAAAAAGCAAGTAGTATACACGGCAATGTCTCATATCCGTGTTTCCAGTATCTGTGGCCCCGAAGCAACCCACAAAGATACTGTAATGTGTTTTTGCAAATACGAGGTGGTGCAGTGAATTCACCCAACTGCACATTTTCCGTGACTGAAAATGATTCCGCACATCCTAAATGTATCTTAGTCTCCACATGTTGCCGCATACGCAAGGAGTTACCTGAAATGGTAGCAAATTAATTCAGTTACTTGCATGTATCCATAGGTAACCGCAGATATTAGGGGATCTGCTATATTATTCCCCCATAGTCAACTGGAAATAAGAGGAGTATGGCTACACCTCCAACATTGTTTTCAACTGTGCAGCAATATGAATGACATACATGATTATTAAACATGCGACCATGTGTGGATTCAACGATTAAAATAAGTTAAAATGCTCACAACGCTTACAAGATATGATTGTAAAACATGAGGGAATACAAACTGAACAAAACTACAAAGACGACAAATGAGAAACCGCACAATGTCAAAAAATTACACAACAAACGTTGATTCGGAATAACTGAGGTCTAATATTAAGTATCACTAAATATATGCAAGCCACTGCTTTACTACCATCAGTTAAGACAACCTCGCAGCCTGCAGAAAGTTGGCACTAAAGTGTTATATTTTTTATTTAAAGCTTTCGTGACTGCAGGGATTCATATTCTTGGTTCTTTCGGCAAAGTCACGTAGAAGGGAAACAATAAAATAATAAAAAATAACCGCCACTTTTTCAATTTTTTTTGCTGTGGTTTTCACACCTGATGATGATTGCTTGTGTTGCAGTCGAAACGTCGTGAGAATTTTATTGTTTTATATTTTTATTATTTTATTGTTTCCCTTCTACGCGACTTTACCGAAAGAACCAAGAATATAAAGTGTTATAGTTCACGTAAAGATTTACACGTTAATAGTGTTAAAAGCCCCGTCAATTGAGTCTTTGAACCTTGAAGCAAATTCACGCTGTGCAAAGTTATGAGATAATGAAGTGTCGGGCGCAACTAGCGGACGACAAATCGTTGCGCGCACGCGCACGAGAGCGGGCAGATGAGAGAGTGGCTTTAAATTCATTTCACCACCTGTTTTGTCTGCTGGTCGCTGCAGACAACTCACATTTTACGGGCGGACGCTGCGCCAGTGGGCGAAGGCCGAACCTGCCTTTGTCGTCGTCCCTCCGAGGAAAAAAAAAAACCTCACCCCCGAAACGGTGTGATGACACATGCACAAGGCGAATGACAGGTGATATGTTCTACTACCAGAGCTCGACGTGTAAACAAAGATCTAATGGAGCACCCTTTTTTTTGTCGTGGGATTTTTTTTTTTAAGCACCAGAGACTCTCAACACGCACTGCGAAGTCACACATGTAGCATGTCTAAATAAGAGTTGGTCAAAATGTTTTGTGAATGGAATGTTAGACGTGCACATTGACTTGGTTTTCATAACTCGCGATTACTTTTAACGCTTAGAACAAATGATTTTATTTGTATTATGAAAAAATATTCACGGGACCTTTTGTAAAAAAAAACTGCTGGATGACGATCTCCTCACCTCATGACGGACGTCAGGATTATTTGACCATACTTCACCACACAGGTCTGTGTGGGTTGAAGGGGCCCAGCACCGGCTCCCACTATCACTCACCGCTTACGTTAACCATGGGCAGGAAGTGAACCCAGGTCGCTGGGTTGAGAGCGCAATGCGCTAAAAAAGCTGCGCTACCACTCCACCCCTTGTTTTAGAAGAGTTCATTGTATAAACATTGGTCTATGTGGTAAACAGTCGAGCAATATTAATTGCTGTGCCGTACTTCTATGGCCCCAGATCTATACTCTTCATGGTCATCAAACCGCACTGACCAGTGTGGTGAAGTATGGCTAAATAACTCCACGACCTACATGGTGTGGGGAGGCCGTTATCCAGCAGTGGATTGAGAAAGGGCTGTACACATGCAATATATATGCGACTTCAAAACAAGTCTAAAACAGGGTTGATAAAAATTGCGTTTTGTGTCAACCTCAATAGAGTTTGGCTTCGCCTTGCGCATGCGTGTATATAGAAGTCTTTTATATTCACACCTATGACAAACTCTCACCGACCCAAACCCATTTTATAGATGGTAAAAACTCGTATTGCTCTGGTGTACTATTGTTAATCTCGGGGCAGAATTCAAGAGGCTGTTGTTTTCCCACCGACTCATCGTTGGGCAGAATCACACCACGAGGAGGAATGATGGCTGGCGATCAAGACTAACGATGGAGTGGCAGCCAAGGGAGGAAACAGGCCTGAGAGGAAGTCCCCCACAGATATGTGCAGGTGCTATGTTAATTGTTACATTGCACTTGCAGAACCATGAGTGATGGTGACGGGCTTGGGGAGGGAGCCTTCCTACAGCAGTGAATTGATTGCGATTCACCATTATTGGAATAAAAAAACGTCTTTTGAATGTAACTGCGGCCAATTTGCATCTTGCTCTTGCACAGACACTGGAGCGGGAGTGTCGTGGTGACCGGGCGCCGCCCCCCGTCCCCCCCCCACCCACACGACGCTCCCGAGTTCTCGCAGGTTTCCCCCGTCACAGCGGCCGTGAGCGATGGTCGTAAAGCGCCCATAAGCTGCGGGGCAGGCGGGGTCAGGCCGTGACAGACGAATGACTGGACATCGATCACCCGTGGCCGCCACCAGGCGGGTCACACAGGCCCCGCGGGTGAAAACTCCTTTCACCGACAGCAGGCGCGCTCCAAACGTACCACCGGGCTCCCGTTTTCACTTTGACCCCTTTTTCGGGGTTTTTTTTCTGTGTATGTATGTGCGTGTTACTGCTACCCTTCCTCCACTCACCACCCCCAATTTATTTAGCTTTTCCACACCACGTGCCCCCACCTATGGCGACGACCCACGCACGCAGGCAGCCTGACCCTGGGATTTGTTACAGCTTCACTGTCTGTCGTCTCTCAGGTGTGGCAGAGCAGTAAGGCACTGTGTACAGATTTGTGGGTCATTCCTGAGTCTCTGGGTTGAGTCAATAGACCGTGAACAGTATGTATGCTTTGCACTCTCCGTAAAACCAAACTCTATACTGTGTGAGAGAGTGCCTGTGTAAAGATATGGTCATCATTCCCGTTAAGGCAAAAAAATTGTCCTGCGGCAGTATGGCAACACAACTACATACCAAGCTTCACGTCTCCTTTGCTGCTCGCCTCATAATAATAAAGTGCTTCATTTTAGAGTGTATTTATACCGCACGTAAACAGTTCCACTGGTTAATACAATTTTAATTTTACGCGAACGTCCTTTGTCCCTTCACGAGTTGGACATCATCATCAGCCATGATCAATCTACTGCTGAATGATGGTCACCCCCACGCTATCACGATCCCACATACTTCCATGATGCCATACTCAATCGCGCTCCTGCACGTGAGCAGATATCGTCGCTCCATCTGGACGGCGGTCATCCTCTTGGGCGTGTTTCTCCTATCAGTCTCGACCACTGACCATCAACCCTTCTAGCGATGTGACCTGCCCAAGCCAACTTACATTTCTAAACTGTCAATATGACGTCTCTTACTTGTGTTTGTTCGCATGGGTTCCTCCGTCTCTCTCTGTGCAACTCTTAAGCACGCACCTCATCACGCTTCTTTGCGTACTTTTCAGATTTTCGTCAACTCTTTCGTGAACGTCTATGTTTTTGTTATTTACATCTCGGTGGGCAATATGCACGGATTTAAAACTTTCTTCTTCAGGCACATATTGGCATTGCTTGTCATCAAATTTTATTTTCTAAAAGGAATCCATCCCGACCTCTTTAACCTCTTCTTATTTCATCTTTTTTTTATCACAATCCGTCTTCAACAATTGCCCCAGCTATACATGGTCCGCAGTGTTTTCAAACTGTGTTCCTCCAACAATTATTTTCACTGGATCAGCAAACGTGTTTTTTGTTTCACTCATGTTGATCTTGAACCCAACCTTATAGTCCTCTTTAAGTTATTCAAGAGTTTTCTCTACTTCATTTTAAATGGTTGCTATTACATTAACTCGGTCATCCGCAAATCAGAGGATCAATAATTGTTACATTCCTGTATATGGCTTTATTTCTTGCATACAATTTTCAGAAAACATCTTCTAAAGTCGATGTGAATGTCTTTGGTGAGAGTATCTCATATATCCGACTCCTCTACTGATTTGTAGAAATTGCTGTTTCACTAATATTGATACCAGTGTTCTTACTCTTTTTATTATAACACATATACTTCCAAAGATCATTCTGGGCCTCACGCGACCACAACAAATGGGCCACGTGGGACTGTGATGGACAAACGTTTAGCAGGTTAAAATGACAGTACACCTCATTTAAAAGAAGTCAAAGTTTGTTTAAACTAGAATGAAAACACCACTAAAGCCTTCTCTTCACGGTAAAGTGTCCTCGACGAAGACAGCTTTTGAAGAGCTCAGCCGCAACAGAGCAGAAGGCAGGGCCCACACGGTGGCATGAAAGGGGCAAGCAAAACAGATTCTCATTTTAAAGCACCTGGGCTCCAAGACCCCTTTTGATTATTTATTTAACGAGTGAAAAAAACAACAAATCTCGGCACGGGCCACTCTTAAATGACCCCTTTGTGCTCCAGAAAGTAGCAACAACCGACGTGGGAGGGGGGGGGGGTCAGCTGAATCAAAACACGGCCCAATACCTGCATGCACGCGGCGTGGTCTCATGACCTCATCCATCCCCTCGCGATGCGC